CTCAGTAGATTTAATAACGACCAAGGGTTGGGCATCTTCGGCTTTCTTTTTTAAAGCCTCAGCTCTCCGTATCTCCTCCTCAGTCATGGGGAAACTGTCAAAGGATGGTAGAGACAGATCCATGAGGTCTGCAGCAACAGCACTGGAGGCAATATCCTTGAGGTTTGAAGAAGTTAGCAGGTCCTCGATAGGCGAGGGGTCACTCCAGACTCGTTCCTCAAGAAAAGAAAGTCTGTTCCTTGCTGCGGAGGATGGGAATGTAGCTGAAAAAACACCAAGAAACTCATAAGTACGGTGAAACATTAAGACTTGGCAAGGAAAATAGCCAGAACACTTGGTATGAAGGAAGGTTAAGTATTCTATACCTAATTTCCCAAACTTGCGCGGGATGGGGAGCGTAATTGATTGGGGCACGAACCATGTTCCTTTAACTATAACCATCCTTTCTTTCCACTTCTTTTCGGATGAAGGAAGGTTCGTGCATATCCTCTGATGAAGGGGAGAGGTAAAAAAGAAGCGACCAGGCTCGGTCCCATGCTTAGATATATTGTAAGTAAGCAGAAGGTCGGCAAGGGTCAAATCCAGAGCCTCTAATTTCCGGCGCACCAACAGTGCCGAAAGGATGCGAAAGAAATTAGGATTTACCTGAAGGGGGGCAAGACCTAACTTGTTGAAAACTAAATAATAGAAGGGATGAAGAGGGAATCGGAGGGCGTTAAGATGCCCTACCGAAAGAAGTAATTCACTCTCTTCAATTCCCTCGCCGGAGGTAAAATCGGCACCCTTGGGATATTCTGCAATTTCTACTCCCTCAGGAATATCAAATTCTTCCATTACCGAAGCAATAGAGAACTTGATGCGGCGAATAGAGATGATTGCTTTCCTCTCTTCATGAGTAAGAACATAATCAGAGCCTGAGGTGGATGTCTCGGCTGGAAGGGGGGAAGTACCTAATGGATTCAACGAAAGACGATCTGTAGAAACCCTAGGAGGGGGAGCCCTAATGCGAATGGGGGAAGATGAAGGTGTGGATTCAGAATCCCCAATGTCTATACGTTCGGGAGTAGATGAAGTACTCATAATGAAAGATTGAAGAGAAAGATGCAAAAAAAAACTAACCTGACAAAGCGATGGAATGAAGAACGCAGAAGTGCAGCAAGGGCGAATGTAACTCTTGCAAAATCTTGTATGACGGAGTAATAATGAAAGACCTCGAACCGTTTCTGAAGCAAAGTAAAAAACCGGTTTCAATTCCCTCTTTAATAGGAGCCGTCACTCAATTAAAAATGAAATTTGGGGCAAAGTGTGGAGGGAAAAAAAACTCCCTCCAATAAAAAGCGCACACGTCATCACTACACATATCTACATTCCAAGGACATATAAGGCCCATCATGCTCAAGCCCAAATTGAGGGTATTTATAGCCCAAGACCATTGTTATTTGTCTTCCAATCTCCATCAAGGCCGAATCAAGAGGTTATCAGCCCAACTTGTTAATATTTAACATCCGGTCCGTTACTCAAGCCCAGCCGGATCAAAATATGTTCAGCCCAGTTATTCAAGAATGCACAAGTCCTACCAGTTGAAGGATTTACCGTAGAAGGAAAATTCTGAGATAGGAAGTTTTGTATAAGGCAAGTTCTATGTATGGAAAATTAGACAATGGAAAGAACTCTATTAGTAAAGAATGTTTATATAGAAAGAATTGGAGGGCAAGTAACGTGAGTCCTACCACAATTTTACAATCTTTTGTATATAAATAGAGGCTAAGACCTCCAATAAAGAAATCAAGCAATTCTACGCTTCGAGATATATTATTCTTGTTTATCTTACTATTGATTGAGTGAGTTGTTTTATTTTTCTTAATCATTATTGGTTGAGTGAAATTTTGCACCTACAATGACATATTTTCTCTTTATGATGTTCTAATGTCAAACCCTCAAATATTGGCTACATTTCTAATTTTTCAGAAGATGTGATTTTTTTAATTGCAGTTGCTGTGGCTTACAGAAAATAGTTTATATTGACATTGATGTTACTTTTTGGCTTTTTGCCTTATGTCGGTATTTTAAATTGGTTAGTGCCAGATTGGTGCAATTTATAACTAATTACCATTTCATGTTTGTATCAAATATATATGTTTTGGATTCATATTTATAGTGGGGAAGAAGAACAAGGCACTTGCGATGAACTACAAGAAGAACAATGCACTGCAATCAAGGACAAATCTCAATCTTCTTGGTCGGCAAATTGCAGTGCACCTGCTAGGAATCTAAGTAAGAGTGATCTTGGTGCAGTTATTTTTGGATGCAAGCATCACACAATCGATGAATGTTATAACAGGCTGCTGTTTGGTTAGTTGGCTACCTTTTTCTGCATGCTTTTCTCTTTTTCTACGATATCTAGATTTTGATTTATACAGTTTTAGCTATTCAGACTCATTAAATATTTTTCATATTTTTGAACAGGTTTACCGGTTGCTCATTATTCATATGTAAAGAACGTCACTCCAGGTTTGCCATTATTCTTATTCAACTACAGTGATCGGAACCTTTATGGTATCTTTGAGGCTGTAAGCCCTGGACAAATGAATATCAATCGATATGGTTGGATGGAAGATGGTTCAAAGGACACACCATACCCTGCACAGGTATATGCATGTTACTATCACACTCTTTTTTTAACTTCTTTGAGGATTTGGGTATATAAAACTGTGAATCATACGCTTTCTTTGTGTCTAAGGTTCAGGTCCAAATCCAGATGCAGTGCCAGCCCTTGTCTGAAGCTCAGTTTAAGCCAATAATTGCTGAGAACTACTATGGGTATAATCTATTTTATTTTGAGCTGGACCGAGCTCAAACCCGCAGCTTGATCTCCTTGTTTTCATCCTCACCAGTTGCTGGAAATACCTCTCTTTCCCAGAATACATTAAGATGTTGGACCACAACTATTACAATTCAAACCGGTGATGACATTAGGACCTCCGTTTCAGAGGCATATGCTGGTCATTCAGGTCGGTCTAACATGCAATGGGGCTCATGGGACTTTCCTGGTTTAGACAGTGAAAGCCAGAATTTGGAAGCACCAGTGGGTGCGGATGCAGCTGGAAAGTACAAGCAGGAGCTTGTACACCAAAAACCAAATGCTGAATGTTCATATTCTTCAGTCGTTAGTAACACGGGTGCTTCCCTTCCTCAGAAGAAGTGGAGCTCTCTATTTAAAACTTCAACCACTTTTGATACCTTAAAAGAAAATGAAGAGGATAGTACTCTAGCTTCAGAGTTAACAGCTCCTCATTCTGATCACAACATGGAATGGGTGTCTCCATGTGATGCACCTTATCCAGACAGAGAAAACCAGCTTTTGGAAGCTCATGTAGATGAGTCGGTTGTAGAGAAACATGATAATGAACTTATAGGCTTGAAATCAGATTGTAAATATTCGTACACTTCTTCCGCTCTGACAGAAGCAACTGGTTCTGCTCCATCGGCCACTGCATTTGAAACTCTACCCTCTGCTGGTACAAGACAGGAAGAAGAATAACCTAAGAGGGTGGAATCAGATTTGAATCTTCTACAATAAGATGAGTCCAATATGGGATGGGAATCAGTTGCTACACTTCATTTGGATGTAGAAAGCCAGCCTTCAGAAGCTTCTACGGACAACAATTCAGATTCAGATTGTTTCTACTCCTCCACAGTAAGAAAAGAGATTAATGCAGGTGACAATTATTCAAAAAACCATGCTCCTTTTGTGATGACGGATACATTCAGAGGACAGATGTTTTTCAGAAGCTGTGACTGTTTCAGAATTAAAGTCTTCTGATACACAGTCTGTTATAGATAAGGTAACTAAAGTTGTTCCACATCCTTAGCTCCTTTTTTTCTATCATTTAGAATCGTCTCTGTTTACCTTTTGCTTGTTAAATACTTGTGATCTATTATTGTAGTTTATTCGGCAAGTTGAAGCATTGAAGGCATCTCAACTGAAACAAATTCGGAAAATCAGCTCTGTGGAGCAGGAGCGGGTATGATCCCTCACTATAATATTTTTTTGTTGTACTCTGCATTTTCCTACTATTGAATCCCATGATATTTCTCATTTTTGTCATATTTTTTTTTTTGGTAGTAGAAAATTGCAATGAAACTTTTGAAAAGATAGCAACTCAGGAGATTTTCAGTTTTTATCTATTTATTTTTTATTATCCATATTTTTTAGAAGATGAATATCTACCACCGGGTGGTGCTAGCCCTAATTGAGACCAAATGGGTGTTTTTTGCTTGGTTGGGTTTCTTAAGTGTTAATTAAAGGGCATGATTTTACTTCTGTGGTAATTATATTATACTAACACAGCGAATTGTGCTGCTTTGATTATATTATCCGTTCCTTACTATACATGTGTGGAAAATGGAATAATACTATCTGCATATATCCTGTTATAATTTGAAAGTAGGACAAAAAATCACCTAGTGTAGAGCAATTGTTATGGTGGGCTACTGATGGGAAATTCCATGGTGTGTGATTCTGACAAGAATCTGATTCTCATGATCTCAATTGTTCAAACCAAAGAGTCTCTAGCTCAAAGGTATGATCTCTATTCTCTCTCCTTTCCAAAGGGGGAGGTTGAGAGTTTTGAGTCCCCCTAGGGAGATGTGGATAATGTGTGTGTGTGTGTTTTTTTTCCTGAATGGTATGTTTTTGTTTTATATATAATGAAAAAGCAATACAATTACAAATAGGAGATCAAATCTCCAGCAGAAACTAAGTGAAGAAGGAAATGGAACTTAATCCAATTACAAAGCATAGCAAAGAAAGCCTAAACAAACTAAAAATTAGTTTCAGCCCATAGACCTGAAGACCAATTTCTGCTCTAAAAAACTTGACATAAACAAAACTTGTGGCAAAACCTTTCAGTCCAGCTGAACTCAACCAATTACGCATCCAAACTTCTGTCAGCAACTTGAGTGCCACTCTGATTCCAAAGCAAACTAACAACTAGCAGTTACCCAACATCAAATATAGCGAGCATATCAGCAAGCCCAAGAGAAAAGAAGTTTAAAACTTCCCAAATAATATCATTCGCAGCAGCAGCAGATGAAACCTTGGAACCACTATGTAAAGCTGCATTCCTTTCCATCCAAATCTTCCAAACAAAAACAACAAACAGCCCTTTTAACAACTTGGATTTGAAGCCCTTAACTTGTGTAAGCTGCAACATCCACTCCACAAACACACTTAATTCTTGAAACCGTATATCAGTAATATTTAACCAAATAACAACCTGTTGCCACACTTCCACCGCATACTCACAAGTACAGAATAGATGGTTATTAGTATCCTCTGCCTGAAAACAATTATGGCAAACTGATGGTCCATGAAACCCCCTAATGATAAATTCTTATTATGCATGATAATAACAAAAGTCACAGCAACTCTTGGTCTGTAATATTTCCAGCACAAACTCTTCCCCCTGACCACTTGTCCCCTAGTTCTACAAGCAGCCCAAGCATTTTTCAAGCTGAATTCACCATGGGTCCAACTAATCTCATCATTTCCAGCCTTCAAAGGTACATTAGCAACAAACTCAGCAGCAATTTCTGGAAAGAAAGGAGGGAAAACCCACCCACCATCAACTATAAGTGTCTCTAGTTTAGCTTGTTTATCAAAATTTTTGAACATGGTGGCACCAAATCTCTGAGTCAGGGACAAACCTACACACCAAGGATCAAATAGCATATTAAAAGATCCACCATTACCAATCTTGAACACCACATTTTCTTGAATGAAGTCTCTTGTCTCCAGAATTTGTTTCCAAATACTTGAATCCTGAGCTTTTGGAGTAACCATCCAGAAATTATATTGTTGTAAGTATTTAGCATGCATCCATTGCACCCAAAGAGTCTCCTTATTCCTCAAAAAATCCCAGCAAATAGATACCTTAGCTGCAAAATCAATATCAGAAATTCTACGTAAATTAAAGCCACCTTCTGCATAAGGAAGTGTGACTTGACTCCATTTGACTTGACTCCAATTTCCCACTCCACAAAAAGTGTTTGAACTTTTTCTCCAAAGCAATAATACAGCCCCATGGAATTTTAAATCCAAAAACCCAATGATACAAGAACGAATATAAGACTGATCTGATAAGCTCAAGTCTTCCTGCAAGAGATAAATTTATTGTATTCCAATGGTCCAACCTGGCATTAACTTTATCAAATAACCCCTTACAATCAACACTTTTCAGAATTCTGTTTACTAGGGTAATACCAAGGTATTTTAAAGGGAAAACTTCATTCTTCATTTGCAAAAGCTGTAAAATCCTTCTCTTCCCTCTGACAGCCTTAGAGAATATAACTGAACTCTTGTCTTTGTTAACTTCAAGCCCAGAAACCCCATGAAACCGTTTAAGCACCTCATCAACTGTCTTAGCAGTGGAAAGGTCTGCCTTCACAATAATAAAAAGGTCATCTGCATAAAAAGCATGAGATACCAACAAACCAGTCTTCTGAACCACATTGCACAGCTTAATCTGCCCTCCTACTATTTTTTCATGCATAAGGGTTGAGAAATGATCAGTAATTAATGTAAAAAGTAAAGGAGAAAGAGGGCAGCCCTGTCTAATCCCTCTCCCAGCTGAGAAATAACCAGTAGGCACCCCATTACAAAGAACAGAAAACTTAGAAGAAGTAACACATTGCATAATCCATTTTATCCATTGAGCACTGAAACCATAAACCTGGAGAGTCTTATGAATAAATTCCCAACTAACTGAATCATAAGCTTTCCTAAGATCAACCTTTAAAGCCATAGCAGGACCTGTAGTTTTCAGCCCAAAGTTCTTGATCACATCAGTTACCAACAGAATATTATCATGAATTCTTCTTCCCTTTATAAAAGCAAACTGCTCCAGCCCAACAATCTTAGGAAAAACAACACTTAGTCTATTTGCCAAGATTTTAGTGATGATTTTATAACTAAGATTGCCTAAAGCAATGGGTCTATAATTCTCTAACTTATCACCATGGTTTGGCTTTGGAATCAAAGCAAGAAAAGTAGAATTTATTCCCATAGGCATCACAGCAGTAGTAAAGTAATGTATAACAGCACTAGTCAAATCATTACCTACAATATGCCAATATTTCTGAAAATATCTAGCTGGAAAGCCATCTGGAACAGGGGCTTTGTCTGGACTAAAAGCCAACACAACCCTTTTAATTTCCTCAGCTGTAACCTCCCTATCAAGCTCCTACAAATCTTCAGCTGCTATCTGTTTTCTAGGGATAGAAACTTCTGTCACAACAGAATCCTTAGCAGCATACAACTCTTCATAATATTGCACAAGCCAGTCCTTAATCACTTGAGGATCAGAGGACGTTACCCCCCCAGAATGCTTCAAACAAGTTATTGCATTATAACACCTCCTTTGTTTGACCATATTGTGAAAATAAGCTGAACACTTGTCCCCTTCTTTAAGCCACTTAACCCTTGATTTCTGACACCATAAAATTTCTTCTAAATCCAGAGTTGATTGCAGCTTCAAAGTAGCCTCCCTCTCCTTAGAAATCAAACCAGGATTCATAGGATCTTGCAGCAATTCCATTTGAACCTTATGTAAATCCTCAGTCATTACTTGAACCTGCTCAGAAAGCTTACTCTTCTTCTTATTCCAATCTCTAATAATAGCCTTCACAGCTCGAAGCTTCTTCTGTAATTTGTGTAAAGGGTTCCCTCCAACTGATTCATTCCACACTTGGAACACCAGCTCCTCTACCTCTTGTTGGAAACACCAAATTTTTAAAAACTTAAAAGGTTTTGGCCCAACTGCACAGTCTAAATGCCAAGTTACTACCATCCCATAATGGTCTGACAGAGAGGCAGCTGTCAAATGCAGTGTCAGTAAATTTGTGAAGCCACACCTCATTTGCAAGAACTCTGTCTAACTTAATAGTGATCCTTCTATCTCTCCCTTGCTTATTACTCCAAGACCATCCACCATTATTAATAGGCAGCTCCTCTATTTGGATTTCTTTAATCACTTGATTGAATTCATCAAGAAGGTACTGAGGCACTCTTAAACCCCCCATTTTTTCAGAATGAAACCTAGAAATATTCCAGTCTCCTATAGCAATCCAAGGACAATCAATAACAATAGCCTGATCTTTAAGATTTCTCCATAATTTCCTTCTTTCTTGCACTGTATTAGCAGCATAAATAGCAGAAATAAGCACAACCACTCCAGTAGCAGTGTGTCTAACCTTCAAAAACATCACTTGAGTAGCTTCTTTAATGAGTTGTACATCAAACACCATAGGGTCCCAAGCAATCCAAATTTTTCCCAAAAGATGAGAAGCATAATTATCTAACCAATCCCATCGAGGATTAATCTTTTTTTGAATTTTTTTAGCTTTACCTTGTCTAACTCTGGCTTCTACTAGAGCCACCAAAGAAAATTTATTTTCCCTCAGCCAGACCTTGACAACAGCCTGCATATTAGGTCTATTAAGACCTCTTACATTCCAAGCTCCAAGCATTAAAAAAGTGTCTTTGATGGTACTACACCACCAGTTTGTTTACCTCTAGTAACCCTGTCAGAGGGTGGAGCTTGATACTTTTTTTTAGGTTTCAACTTGTGTTCTTCAGTTTGCTCATGTAAATCTGTACCAGTACTTGTAATTTCAGCTTTATCACTACCCTCAGTATCTTGTTGAGCCCATTCAGAATAAGAAATTCCATGCTTAACTGCTGAGACTTCCTCACTGCCTATGGCCTGCTGTGGCTCTTCCAAATTAGCCTGCTCCACTACCTCAGCAAAACCAGAATCTAGTTCCGTAATAACACCTTGAGTCAAGACCTCCTCAACGTGATCTTCAATTTCAGGGATCTTGTCCACAACCTTTGCTAAATCAACTCCCTGTGTCTTAATTTCTGAAATCTCTTCCACCACATTCTCAAGTAATGCAAAGGAATTATGAGTAACAACTTGTGTGCTCTGAATCAGTTGCACAGACATTTCAGCAGACACCTGGTGCACTACCTCAGCCTCCACCATTTTACCTTTTTTCTTCACAATTCATTTATCAACCAACTGTTTTTTTGGCTTATGCTAAACCCTTTGAGGACATCTGTCAACAGCGTGATCCACCCGTTTACACACAGAGCAAACAATTGGCTTCCATTCATACTCAACATGAACTTTACAGTCTTCCCCATGGAAATCAACCACCATATCTTCTGGTAAATCCTTATGCACATCAACCTCTACCATAACACGTACATATTGATCTTTATCTCGATGCAAAGCCGGATCATCCATGGAAATTGGCTTTGAGAAAAGAGAGCAGACCTTTGAAAGGGAAGTTGAATTACGGCAGTGAACCGGAAGGTCATGGACGCGAATCCATATTGGCAGAGTATCAAAATTTTCCCTCTGTAAAATAACATTTTTACTCCATTTTTTGATGATGATCACTCGTCCTTCAAAGGTATGAATACAGGATAAAACCTTTTGAACATCATCTGAGTGTTGAAAACGTACCATAAAAAATCCATTTTTCAGATAAACCAATGTAACATCCTTGGACCAATGCTTCTCAATGAAAGCTTTGAAGTGGGGATAGTAGGGTCGTTTACCCATCACATAACCCACAACTGAATCTGTCCAGTAAAGTATTTCATCTGCAACATCTTCTTCCGTGATAGAAACCTTCGAACCTTCACCAGGAGGAATATACTGCAGATTAATAAAGGAGGTAGCGTCACTTCCTTCAAAACAGCTTCGCCATGAATGACGAGGGGATAGAGGAGTTTGCCGTTCAATAGAAACTGTCGGCGGAGAGGAGGAGGTGGAGGCCCCCTCCATCATGATCCAACCCTACCCACACCAAACATATGCAAACCCTAAACCTAGATCGTGCAGATTAGAGAGAAAAAGGGTAGTTTAGGCAAAGGGATTTATTCACTGTTGTGTGTGTGTGTGTTTGTTTACCTTCCCAACATCTTTTTTTTTTACCTTCCCAAAAAAAAATTGATCTCAGTTGTTCAAGGAGACGAATTGAATATTCCCTAATACTGAGGCCAAATTTTGGATGTGGCAGGACAGGAATAAACTAGTCATTAACGAATTCTTATTGTTCTTTATAGAAAATAGAATGGTTTGGTAGCTTTGACATTGCTAAGTCACCGTAGCAGAAACTGACACCTAGATGAGCTTTTCAGGAAATGCTTTTTTATTGTTACTAACTAAAGATTTAAACAAAAACTTATAATTGATTTTATTCTCTCTGAAGTCCCACCATATTTGACACCCAACAATCCCCCAGCTGACAATAACATCACATTGTAAGTCTGCATCAAGCTTTCTGCAGGTTTCACTTTTGAATCCTGTAATTTCCTCCGTGAATTAGGCCAACGGAACAAGTCTTCCTTTTATGTTTCGTTTGGTTGGAGGGATGGTAAAATGGATAGAAGGGAGAGGAGAAGGGATGGATGAGGCATCCCTAAGGAAGGAAATGTATCTCCCTCATTTTTTGTTTGGTTAGGTGGAATGGATAGTACAATGGATGGATGTAGCAGAGAAATGGAGTTTTATATTGTTTTTACTAATATACCCTAATTATATAAAATTATAAAAATTATATGCATTTCAAATTATGCAACAGGAAGTTTAAAAATGGAAATTAGAAACTTGTTGGTTATTATCCCGCTTTCTGTCTCCTTTTCCCCTCAATTTTGGGGGGATAGAAAATTACAAAGGAAGGATGGATGAAGCATCCCTCCTTGCTTCCTCCCTTCCCTTCCCTTCCCTTCAACCAAACTTAAAAAAACTTCTTTTATCCCCCTGTCATCCATCCCTCCTCAATCCTTCCTTTCAACCAAACATAGCATTAATCTAACAAGGTAATCAAGGCCTCCCTCTCTAGAGCTTTGTCATATAAGCCAAAGAATGCAAATTGGAATGGTGCTCCAAATATCATTCCACAACTTCACTGTATTTTTTACATTATAAAGCAAGTGATGTTTTTGCAATAGTTCCACAAATCATGACTATGGAAAATATTTATGTGGCATGATGTGGTGCAACAGCCTGGTCTGTCAATTTTGGGGTTTGAATTCAAAGGAAACATGAGAGCTAAAAAAAACTGAATGTCAGTTCTGTAATCACTCAACTACTTCTAGCACGTTCAGGTGAACAACAATGGAAATGTATTGATATATTGGTGTTCTTTTGCTTAGGCCATTTGCTTTTACCCCCTTATTTGGTGACTATGACTGACTTCAAAATCCTTGGACTGCATTATTCTTGATAAATTTTTCTTTAGAAGTGCAATGTTTTTAGATGTCCAAGGCTGTGTCACCACGTCTGGGTTTACACCATCTTTTGGTTTTTTTGCACTTTCCGTTGGTTTCCATCTTATGTTTGGCAATATGACTTTTATCCAAAGACTTTTACTCCTTATTGTCAATTTTCATAAACCATTTTCCCGAAAGTGTAATGCTTATAGATTTTGGTGGCTTAATCTCCCCACCACCCACTGGCTTTGAGTCTAAACACTGTTTTCCTAGTGACCAAGTTTCCAAATTGTCAACTGCTATCCTTCCCATAGAAAGTTCTTCCGAAAATGTTTGTTTGGGCAGAAAAAAAACTCTCTAGAGGCATCATTTGCTGCCTCTGCAAATGTTTGTTTTGTTTGCACCTTTGAACTACTGCTTCCTGAATTGAGATTAACCTAAATGGGTGCTCTGCAAACTCTTGGTACGTATTGAATATTATTACGGTACTGTAGCTACTGGCAAGCCAGGTTCAGATTCCCAAATGTACGCATTTTGCTCGTATCGATAGTGAATGATGTGTGATATGGACTTGGATACTATTAAACTTTTAGTATATTTAGATCTAAGTGTGACATTGGGAAATTTCATTGAATTAGAAGGAAAGTCACTATTATCTAATATTGCGTGAAACTCGCTGTGACATTACTGTGTTTAGTAGTACGTTAAATTTGAAAGATCCCAAATGCCGTCTTGGTTTACTAGCTCTCTTATTTCTCTCCGCGTCTATAACAAAAATCACTACTAGATGGTAAGACGTAACAAATTCAATATATTACAAAAATTACTTGACTGAATGCAAACGCCTTTGCTACCTGATTTTGAGCTAAAATTTTATATGTTGGTGGAAGGGAATTTATAGCCAATAAATGACGTTGCACTTGCTAAAAGAACTTGGAGTTGAATGAAATTTTCTTTTAGTTTGACCTAATGTAAATGGCATGGAGTTCATACTACCAATCACATTACTGATTTTACTTGGTCTTCTTAGTGTCATTCTCCAAAAAAAGGCCTTCAAATTACCTTTCTTACAGTTGCTTACAAGACTGAAATTAGGTTGTATTTGAATCATGTTGGTCCAAGTTCATGCTTTTATCTATTCTTCTTCATGACCTAATGAATTGAAACTGTTTTTCTGGCAATTCAAGTTAGATCAAACATAGAAATTCAACAATTGAAAGGCAGATGTAGTGCGTTGGAATCCGGGTCACTCTCTTCAAATTGGAATGCTGATGAAGGAGCATCTTGGTAGGCATTTGATGGTTCTCTAGGTCCTTTGCTCAATGATCTTTTGTGTCCATATGTTACTCAGCATCTAAGCTCAATGAATGGTGAATTTTACGTATTTTGCTCGTATCGATAGTGAATGATGTGTGATATGGACTTGGATACTATTAAACTTTTAGTATATTTAGATCTAAGTGTGACATTGGGAAATTTCATTGAATTAGAAGGAAAGTCACTATTATCTAATATTGCGTGAAACTCGCTGTGACATTACTGTGTTTAGTAGTACGTTAAATTTGAAAGATCCCAAATGCCGTCTTGGTTTACTAGCTCTCTTATTTCTCTCCGCGTCTATAACAAAAATCACTACTAGATGGTAAGGCGTAACAAATTCAATATATTACAAAAATTACTTGACTGAATGCAAACGCCTTTGCTACCTGATTTTGAGCTAAAATTTTATATGTTGGTGGAAGGGAATTTATAGCCAATAAATGACGTTGCACTTGCTAAAAGAACTTGGAGTTGAATGAAATTTTCTTTTAGTTTGACCTAATGTAAATGGCATGGAGTTCATGCTACCAATCACATTACTGATTTTACTTGGTCTTCTTAGTGTCATTCTCCAAAAAAAGGCCTTCAAATTACCTTTCTTACAGTTGCTAACAAGAATGAAATTAGGTTGTATTTGAATCATGTTGGTCCAAGTTCATGCTTTTATCTATTCTTCTTCATGACCTAATGAATTGAAACTGTTTTTCTGGCAATTCAAGTTAGATCAAACATAGAAATTCAACAATTGAAAAGCAGATGTAATGCGTTGGAATCCGGGTCACTCTCTTCAAATTGGAATGCTGATGAAGGAGCATCTTGGTAGGCATTTGATGGTTCTCTAGGTCCTTTGCTCAATGATCTTTTGTGTCCATATGTTACTCAACATCTAAGCTCAATGAATGGTGAATTTTACGTATTTTGCTCGTATCGATAGTGAATGATGTGTGATATGGACTTGGATACTATTAAACTTTTAGTATATTTAGATCTAAGTGTGACATTGGGAAATTTCATTGAATTAGAAGGAAAGTCACTATTATCTAATATTGCGTGAAACTCGCTGTGACATTACTGTGTTTAGTAGTACGTTAAATTTGAAAGAAGGGAAATCAGTATTATTCAATAAGGCAAAAGTCAGCATTATTAAAATATAAGCTTTTTCCAGTTGTCATAAGCTGTCATAACTCTTAACACTTTTGAGAGACGGTTGTACAGTCTTAGAAGTATCCTAATTCCTAAATGATAAATATTTTATTTTTTGGTCTGAGAGACATGGACTCCACAAGGAGATGTTTTCGACACTTGCAGATGAGGGTAATTTTGTAATTATTTTTAAAAAAAAATCAATTCAAGTTAAAATGTATTGCTCCGTATTAATTAGAAATATAATATATTATAAATGTTGAGGCTGAAATTCGCTGTGGTCCGATACAGCACTGCTTTTCTGTAAAGAAAAGAATTAAAGATCAATGAAGCTTGACGATACCGGTGTGGTGCCTACCAAGAGCTCTTCGACGATCAAGTCAGTCACCGAAAGTCTAAAAGAAAGGCAGGAATTAGTAATATTTTTTTTGTCGTACCTTTATTGACCGGTAGGATCCCCTTCTTATAGTCGCTCTCCCTTAGTTTATTTGCGAGATCAGAGGAGATCGTTTGTTGCCAGATTGGTCGGGGATATGATTTAATCCTTTTGACTTCCTCCAATTGTGCCAGGATTATCCTTACCTAGTTGAACCACGTCAGATTTCATTATCCTTGATAATAAAATTTAATCATTCTTATCCAATGGAAATATGAGGTCTGACGGTTGGTCACCGCTTAGTTGCCTCCATAGTTAGGTGTAGGGTAAGTTTATTTTTCTCTATCAGTTGCCCCCCATTCCCAAACTTGCACGTCTAGCTTTGGGAATGTAATATATATATATATATATTTGCCCAGGGCACTATTCCCTCGAGAACGGGAACAGTGCTCGCGGGTACTGTTCATTGAACAGTAATTTTTTTTTTTTTTTGTGCCCACTTGGGAACAGTGCCCGCGGATATTGTTCATTGAACAGTAAAACTTTTTTTTTTTTGTTCCCGGCACTGTTCCCTCGATAACTTTTTCCTTAGGTAATATTTCCTTGGGTAGTCTTCCCTTGGATAATCTTCCCCTGGGAACATGATATTTCTTTACTATTCCTTATAGTACGGGGTTATTGATTACGAGATTCATTCAGCCCGAATCCTTTTAGTACAGGACATTTATTTA